AATTAACATTGTTGTTGTTAATAGAAACTTATAAGAAGAAAGCATGAGTTGTCTTTTATGAGTGGAATTACAGAATACAATTGCTCTTATACAAATCATTTTCTTTGTTATCCAGAGAATACTTCAAAATGAGAAGGACATGCCTTGGGAAAACAGACTGGGTAGGGATTCATTGGAAAGGGGGGACAATGCTCCACCCTGTTCAACAAGACGGAAGCAGCTGTGGAGTTATTGTAGTCAAAGYAAATTAACGAGTTCATGTTTTTTGTTATACAAGTATGGATACTGTGTAATTATTATAGAGAAAAGTACTCTAACATCAAATACAGTCTCTCTGGCTAGTTAATATGGGCTTTCGTTATTGTGGAAAGAGTGTGTATTCACTTGGAGGAATACAGACTCCCCCAACAGTAGCCCATAACTGGGGTCAGTGCAACATGCCACACACAATTTGTAATTACAGTTGTTTCAGCATCTTCTAAATGTTGAAACATTTAGATGTTTCACWACAGGTATCTGTACTAACAAACATACTTGCTTTAGTATGTGTGGATACACTATATATGTCCACATGAATGTTTTATGTCTGATGCATTATAATTCCATAAAAACAGTCTTTAAAAACGTTTTTTTCTTTAGATGGCAAAAGCACTGATGGAAGCCTTCCCTCTGATGCCAGATGTAGATTTTGACACAACAAAAAAGATAATGAAAAGTGAAAGAAGAACTCTCGCTCTTCAAATCCTTGATGCATCAGGTACACCATATGTGCATATGTTGTTCATTTCTACTTACAATACATAAACACACACATATATATTGTAGAATCTCCCCAGCTCTTAAATTAGTCAACCAGTCTCAACGGGTGAATTTAAGGTGTTTTATTTTATTTGATGAAGATCAACCATCAATATCACAGTCACCACAATCACCTCAATCGTGAAAAAAACAAATACAGTACAAACATTGTAATACAAAACATAAACTTAAAATAAAGATACCAAAACAAAACAGACCTCGCTGCTTTCACTGGGGAACACAAAGTTTTGATTTCTTTGTGACAAACACATCTTGACAGTTCAATTAATTCACTGTTACAATGACTCCGGCAGCTTATATAGGGCCTGCCCTCATTAGCTACGGCAGCCCGTGAGGTCAATAAAAAAAATAAAAACATTACAAAATGCAAATACCATTAAACAAAATATAAATCACCAACAGTGCAAATCAAAACAGACAAAAATATCTATCTATCTATCTATCTATCTATCTATCTATCTATCTATCTATCTATCTATCTATCTATCTNTATAGTGTGGACCTGGTGAAAAGAAAGTTTTTGAGATCAGTGGGTACAGGACTGCAAAATGATAACATTAAGTTCCAGATCAAGACACTTCTCGACAACCCAGATGTGACTGATGAAATGC